GACACCTTCCTCTGGTTACTGGGACTCACAGGGCTGTTCAGGGAATTTCCCGGGAACACACGCAGGGACAAGTTCAAAGGAGGACTTTCCACCAGACCTTTCAGGTCATGAGATGCATGTGCAGGTTCACAGAGATCTGATGGGATGGACTCAGACACATCATGGCTTCTGCAGGCCTCACAGTGGCCAGTGGAAGGTGTCACGGCTCCTTCATTTCAGGAACTGACTTTTTATCACGTGTGTGGTGATCTGCATTTCTGTGTCCTGTGTTTCTCCTTAGGATTTTCTTAGGTGTCCTAACATTTGTTCATATTTTAAATGAAACTTTACCTACTGTACTTTCTGACTCGTCCTATTTTTGTGACAAATGTGAGATTGTGATGTGTGTGTAGATGCGGTGAAATCATGGGCGGTTGACTGTGTGTTGTCATCTCAGAATGGATAGGAAACTGGTGGTGGTCCTGATGGAAGCGTGAAGGAGGAACAGGGCATCCTCTGTGTGGAGTTGTGAGCGGCATGGTTGACATGTTGGAACAGAATAAAGCCTAGACCAGCCCATATGCCCTCAGACAATCATTTCCCAGTTTTCTTCCCTCACCTCACAGTGTGCAATCCTGTGTTCATTCACACAGAGACCTCAAACCCTTTGTTTTTCCTTCATGAACTACCCTCCTCCTCCCAAGTAACTCTTGGGACTTGGGGCTCAAGAAATGAGTATTATCCTTTATTGTTCCCATGGTGGACCTGAAGGGTGTGTGAGTGTCATGTGACACCCGGTGAACTTACAGACTGTATGTTCAGTGAAATGTGAGCAGACAGTCAATTGTCGGCCTTGTGTTCGGCAGGTCATGTGCCTGAGGAGGGCGCCCTGGCTCCTGCCCTCATTATTGGCTCCTCACCCGCCTGCCCCTCCTGTCTGCTCTTGGGACCCCCACGAACATGGGGACTCGCAGGTGGGAGGCCTGGTCATGGGTTCATTCATCCTTTATCTCATGTGTGAACTCCTC